AAAATATCCTTGGATATATTGTTGCTAGTTGCTGAGAGTGACAGTGAAGAAGAGGAAGAAGATGATGAAGAGGAGGAGGAATTTGACAGTGAGGGTGAAGAGGGAGAGGATGGAGAGGCGTCGTCCACTTCAGATCGTCGCTATCCCAGCAGGAGTACACGGCGGACCAGAAACAGCGCTGCTGGGGACAGAAAACGTGCAGGTAACACAAGTTCACTGCCTTCAGTCTCCGACCCCGTGAGATACAAAAACCCAGCGCCAAGTGTGCTCACAGACCTTTGTGAACGGCTTGTTTTCAGAGTGCAGAGCGGAGATGAACGGTCACAGCAGCAGGTCGTCTCGCAGGGAGAGGCGTCCCCGCTGCGACTCTGACAGGGCCACGTCTCAAGGCTCCGACAGGGAGGAAGTGACAGTTCGCGGGTCGCTAAAAAGAAAGACTGCTCGGGCAGCTGTGAATAAGATGAAGCTCCTTGAAGCGTCTGATGAAGACTACCAGGAGGAGGAGGAGAAGCCGAGGAGGAGCAGCAGCCGCCTTCGCCACACTGTCCGGGTCAGCAAACGCACGGCGGTGCTCAAGAGCAGCTCAGAATCGGACGAAGAGTCAGCAGCAGGTATTAATTACTCTTTAAAAGTCTTTTAATATTATTCAGACAAAGATTTTTACTCGGTTATGTTCTCTTCCTTCATCTTTTAGCTTCCCAAAATACAAAGGAATCAGGAAGTGAGTTTAAGGATGAGGAGGATGCCAATGACAGCGATACCTCATCGTTCTCCCAGAGTAAGCAGAATGGAAACACAAAGAACTCCAAACAAGCTGCCAAGATTAAGAAAAATGGTGAGAAATGTCCTCATCAGTCGCATTTTTAGACTGTGCTAATGCTGCCGTGGAAGTTGCCCTAAACAGCTCGATGTTTTATTCCTTCCCGACAGGTACTTTGTCCCGTGTGAATGGACACAGTGCAAAACATCACACACCCAAGAGCAACTCTGAGCAGGAGGAAACTTCCGGAGAGAGCTCTGGAGAAACGGAGGAGGAGGAACAGCAGCCACCTGTGTCTCAGAAACCGTCAAGGAGCACGGCAGCTGCCCCAGTGAGAAAAAGTAGGAGTACAAGCGAGGAGGAAGAGGAGACGAAAGACATCCGCCCCCTCAGCACACGACACAAACCTCCCGTAAGCTCAGACGAAGAGGACAAACGGCCACACCAAAATGGAAGAAATGTGGAGGAAGCAGTTCACAAAGACCCGAAGAAAAAAAGCAAAGTTTCTCCGTCAAAAAGCCAAGACAAACAAAAATCTGCCTCAGCTCATAAACTGGATGGTGCGGAATCAGATGAACTCTGTGATTCTCCAAAGAGATCCAGCCCACGCAAGAAAAGGCTGAAAAAAGGTGACGAGCAGGATGCGGAAAGCAAACGCTCCAGCGATGAGTCCGACTTTGAAACGAGGACGAAAAGGCTGACGAGGAACAGGAGCATATGCAAACGGCCTCGCGGCGACTCCTCGGCTTCGCAGAGCTCGGAGCAAGAGTACAAACCCAAGAGGAAGTCAAGGAGGAAACGCTCCACTGGCTCCTCGGACCAGGAGTCGGATAATTCGGAAAATGCGCCGAAAAGGCGGCTGAGCCTCCGAGCCCTGCCGAAAAAGAAATACATCAGTGACAACTCATTCTCTGAGGAAGACTCTGCTTCTGCGAAGCCGGGCAGGCAGAGAACTGGCAACAGAACAGCGAGAGAATCTAGAGAAGACGGTTATAACACAAGAGTGTCTAACAGGACTTCCCCGAGTGAAACCAGGAATTGTGTGTCTTCCAAGAGAAAATGTATTTACACCTCAGACTCTGATGACGGGGATGAGGACAGAGAGAAAGAGCCAGTATCCAAGAGCAACAAAAACAGCAAGTCAGGCCCCTCAAAGTGCGCCAAAAAGGACGCCAAGCGTGGTAACGGCAATGAGCAGGACACCTCTTCCCACTCTGATTCTAGTGAGGAGGAAGAGGAGAAGGAAGAGGAGGACGAGGAACATCTTGGCCGTTCGACAAGGGGAAAGGAAAGCGCGAGGCAGCCCAAACGCAAACGAAAAGAAAGCTACAGCAGCAGCAAACACAGCTCGGACTCAGAAAGCGAGCAGTCGTCTTCAGCCTCTGAAAACTCTTTTGCCAGCTCAGGGTCCCACAGCAGTCCAAAGAGATGCCGCACACGGTCGGGGATCGGCGAAAGGACTGCCAGTCGCCAGCTTAGGCAGCGCCCCCAGAGGTCCGCCTCGGAAGAGAAGGACAGCGACGAGTCGTACAGCAAACCGCGGAGGAAGACACGGGTGAACACCCGAAACCGTGGGAAACGGACGGTTAAGTACAACGACAGCGAATGAAGGACATAGCTGCTGGAGGTTACAGGCTTTAGAGGGAAGACGAAGCCGGACGTTAACTGGAGAGCTTAAGACACTTGATTGGTCACCTTACGGTAGTAGCACTGGAGTCCTCGAGAGAAAAATGCTGTGAATCTTTCATTCAGGGATATTTATATTTTCTATGAAAAAAGATTAAAGGAAAATAAAAAAACAAAACAACAAAAAACATGTTTATAGATGTAATACAAACTCAAGCATTTGAACTGCTGGTTTTCACAAGGATGAAGAGCAAAACATCACTTCCCATACTGCGTGTGGTGATTTTTGCCAGCAAAAGGTTTGGCAGAGGCTATTCTGGGGAATCTTGTCAGCTTGGGTGCTAATCTAATATACCTCTGTTTAATCAAGCATACTGCTGGCTTGCACTAAGATACACTGTAATGAGGTATTTCATACACTAGTTTTGCATTAGAAACTCAGGGGTCAACTAAGTTTACTGTAGTCTCAGACATGCAGTTTTTTGTTTTTTTTGTTTTATTTTGTCTCTTTTGAGCTAAGGTAAGGACAAGAAGCAATTCCAGGTTGGCAGATGTCCAAGCACATTTACTGGGACAAAAACTAATCCAAGTTTAGACTTTTTGACTACAGCACTCCTTTGTAAATCCATATACTTAATGCTTGACTGTATTGTGAGTTGATATGAGCCAAATGAACTTCTTCTCCCCTTACATTTCTTCTTTTTTTGTTTCTATTAGGTTTGTGTTGTATTCTAGTGAATAGGTGTAAATATGTGATTAAGAAATTGCCTGAACTTCTTGGTGATCGTTCAGTGGCAAAGAGTTTATTTAAATTTGAGCTATTTCCATTTTTCTTTCTTTTTTTTCTTTTTTCTTTTTTTTTTATACACATTAACTGCATTGTCATGCCATATGTCACAAATTGGTACTTTTTTTTTTTTTTTTTTTTTTTTTTTTGCCAAGTACAAGTAACCAAAAGTACTTAATGCAAATTAATGTGATTTCTCATATTGGGAAGACTTTTTATTGTTGTTCTGTGTTACCTTCTTTCAGTTTTTCTTTTTTTTTTTTTTTTTTTTTTTTTTTTTTTGTTTGTGTGTGTGTGTGTGAGTGTGTGTGTGTTTGCCTTACAGTATGATTTTGTTTTTGTTTATGGGGAGGTTTCTGAATACAGTCGCTTTATGACATTTTGCTTAATGTTTTTTTCGTACTACACCTTTAATAAACAGATTTCACAGGAAGACTATTAATGCAATTTGTTCATGGAGTACAATGAATGACTTATTCTTCCTCTTAATAAAGGCATCATTTCAAGGTGTAATCTGTCTTGGACTGGGTCTTACCCGTTGATTTCATTAAGATGCTCCATCTCTTTGCACTTCCTGTGCAAACAGATGAACTTCTAGGAGTAGTTCAGGCTGTTTAAAGAACATTTAAAGCTGCTCTTTGGATGTTGGCTGCCTTTCGTTTTGATGATCCCACACTGCTTCAGTAAATTTGGTATCTGGACTCTGGGAGGCTAATGGTAGGTTTGCTTTCACATCGTTGGCTGCGTGTTCGGGAGCATGGTCATGCATGTCAACGTTCATAAGCCCGAAGATTTCCAGCACCACTGGCTAAAATGCAACCCCAAACCTTGACAGACTTCCTCCCCAAATTTAAATTTTAGATTTATTACTCCACAAAATCCTGCTGCCACTAATTTTCAGTCCAGTTCTTGGTAATTTGGCTTCCCTCAGCCTTTTCTCTCTGCTTATCCTCTACTTCAGTCTTTACACAATACACACCATGCTGAGATACACCAAGTTCTCAGCTAACTGCTCTTGGGGAATCACAATATTGGTGTAGAAATACTTTTTTTTTTCTTTTTTTTTATGGCTGTCAAACTGTGTTATCTTTGACATTTTTCATAAGACAATTATGTTTTTGTGTCATGCTGCTAGTGAAAAGTGCGTATATCAGGGATGTCAAACTCATTTTACACTGATGGCCACTGTGACCTCACATAGACTGGACCAATGAAACTTCACTGTCTGTCAGCGTGGAGAAGTTTAAGCACACATTTAATCCCTGAGATATCGTAATAAAAGAAAGTCCAGTTTCAACAGTATGACAGTACAACAGTACATAAATGCTGCTTCAGTAAATGAAAGAAATCTCTCAGCACGACTCTTTGGACTTAAATAGTAAGAAATAAATGTGTAAAAATAACAGAAAAAATTCTAGCAGCCCAATGAATGGACTGTCCTGTAAATATATATAAAAAAGATTTTGTTAATTCACAGAAAAACTTTAAAAAAAAAGAGTAAGATTTAAACTCTAGACCTGTGAGCCAAGACATACCCTCCTAACCGCCACGCAACCGTGCTGCCTTATTTGTATTGTTTATAAGAATATGGGTGAGTGGGTGAAAAAAGATGGAATAATGAATAAAAAAAACAAATCTTTTGTTTTTATTTTATTTTGAAGAGACTCAAAACCCCTCAATTCTCAATCGTACTGCGCAGTCGCGTGAGTCTGACGACATCGCGAACTAATTTTCGGTAGCTCATCGCACTTTCGGCAACAATGAAATGAAATTTCAGATAACGATATTTTGTTTAAATGCAGTTAATTTGAACTTATAAAAACAAAGAGTGTGTCGTTTTTATTTTTTTAATAATGGTACCGGAAGCCCGATGTTTTTTTTTGTTTTTTGTTTTTTAGCGAAAATACAAGTAGCAACAGTTAAGGAGATTCGCTTTCATTTTCCAGTGAGCTAACATGTGAGCACTTCAATGGAACAGGTAAGCTTTATACGTCAAAGAAAGTCCGTTTTAATTATCCTGAAAAAGAAAGGTCTAAAATAAACTGACCTAGCTTTGTTTACATTTCCGGCTTTTGCAGCTAGGCTGACGTACAAACTAAAATCGAGCATGTCCTCTGCCAATCACTGTCAGCACTCTTAGCCTCAGAATCAACAGACACAACAGACAGGTTTGTACAACATGTCAGCGTGCAGGAGGATGTTTTACTTGGTAAAGCACAGGAGCCTGTTGACGTATGTACGGAGAAATCTCACTACATGGTCTCCCGTTGGAGCTGCTTTCAATGCCAGACCTCACAGGAAACTGGACCTGTTACAGAAAAATGTGGTGTGTACTTTAAAAATGATCATAATAAAAAAAAAACTTACAAAACTGGCAGAATAACATTTACACTATAAAGGTAAGTCTTGCTTTAGTTGGTGGTGATAACTGTGCGTTTGTGTGTGGTTGCAGGGTTTGTTTGGAGTGCCAGAGCTGAGCTGTCCTGCAGGCTTTCAGGTGGCCACAGAGACAGCTCTGAAGAACACGGAGCGTCTGGTGGAGAAAGCCTGTTCTTCTTCTCCTGGAGTTCAGACAGTCCAGTGCTTTGACCAGCTCTCAGATGAACTGTGTAAAGTGGCCGATCTGGTGAGTTCAACGCACAAAAGTGTGCTAAACCTTTGTAGCAAAAGTGTAAATAAGGTCATATTATTCCCCACATAGCCAAGACCAGCCCTACTGACTAACAATGGGCTGTGAGGTCGCTTTCATGTTTGTGATTACATGAGCATGATGAGTACCATTCATAGAGAGTTTGCGGAATGGCTGCAATCACAACATTGTAGGGTGGTGAAAAGATGTACCCATGGTCTTTTTCTTTTCACGTAAATGTGTACATCCTCATCATTGAAAGAGTGGCCACTGGCCTCTATGTGTAAATTGACTGCGGAGTCCTAGCCTGACGCTTAGCCAGAGGTTGTTTGGTTTCCCCAAAGTCACGGCAAGCGTACACTGTGTTGCTCTGTTTGTGCCAGGGGACCTGATCCTTGGGGTGGACCAATCTTAGGCGTAGCTTTTTGTGTGTTTTGAAAGCCAAAGAGTCGTGATATTTTGAGACGGCGCGTCTCAGCTGTTCCAGTACTCTTGACACAAGGGATTAGAAGTGGTTTTTGCTTAAGCAGCAGTTGTGTCCCTGGCTGCTGTGTCTGTGGGGATGGTGTTCGCTCTGTTTGTGCTCCAGTCAAACCTTAAATACTGATCCATATGTGTTGGTTTACGATCAACACATCAACTTTTAAATGTTCCTCATTACTGATGGAAATCTTTTTCATATCCTTCTTGTTGAATTTGATGTGTTGGTCCACCGCGTTAATGTGATCAGTGAATTGTGTTATGTCGTGAGATTTGATTTTCACCGAGGTGTCATCCACATACCTGTACCTGACTCTGTGGCATTCCAGGGTAGGATAAGAGAGCCCTGTTTTCCATTTCCTCTATATACAGATTAGCCACGGTGGGTGAAAGTGGGGAACCCAGTGTATCTATGCTTCTGGCTGTGGACCTTTTATGTGAAGACTAAAGAAGTCACTTGAATGAGTGACAAAACATTTCTCCCACTGAAAATGCAAAGTCCAACAAAAGACCATTGTTTTAATCTCAACCTCCTAAAATTCAGTATGAGCAGAGATTGCTTGTTTTCTTGACAATCTTGTCAACAATAATCATTCTCCCTGTGAACAGGCAGACTTTATAAAAGTAGCTCACCCCGATCCAGCTTTCCGCGAGGCTGCTGAGAAGACGTGTATCGAGATCGGCACAGTCGTGGAGAAGTAAGAAGCGACCTATGTCGTTCATAGCTGCACAACACCAAGAACATATTTTTATACGCTGTCTCCAACGGTACGATACGGGTCATTTATGCTTCAGTTTGTGCCTGTGACAGATGTTGATGGTTTTTATGTTTCAGACTGAACACTAATGTTGAGTTATGCAAGAGCCTGAAGAATTTGCTGGACAACCCGGACATCGAGGCTCAGCTGGATCCTGATACAAGGTAATCTTACCTGGTTTTGTATCTGACCTGATTTATCCTTCATCTCATTATGAGATTATCTGATTGTTTATTTTGGCCTGTTGTGGCTTTTGTACATGTTTGCCTCTGCAGGCGAGTGGCAGACCTGTTCATGTTCGACTTTGAAATCAGTGGAATTCATCTAGATGACGCACTGGTGCGTTTTTATTAATGGAGTTAAACACGCGATGTAGGAAACAATACCTGAAGGCAACATAACGGTGATTGTGCTTGGTGCTTTTTCACCCTGCAGAGGAAAGAGGCGGTTGCTCTTCATGTGAAGTTGCTGGATCTAAACAACGAGTTCCTGGTCGGCTCCCACATGCCGAACAGGATCGCCAGGTCTGCGATTCCCGAGCACCTACATCTGAACTTTGCAACAGAAGGAAGCTTCATTCAAATCGGGGGACTGCATGCAGATTCCCCCAATGACTTGGTAGGCATTTACTGTGGCTCAGCAAACGTTTCTCTCTTCTGCCCAGAAGGTGGCGCCTCTGCCACGTCTCAGCGCACAACATAGGCTTTGGGTGCCGGTTATGAGAAACACTAAACCTGTGAGAGCTCAAATCTTTAGTCAAGCAGCTGTTGTTGTTTTTTTGTTTGTTTGTTTTTATCATATTTAATCTAATTTTATACTGGGTAGCAGTATGAAATGGTTTTAAAAAATTAGATCTGCAAACTTTGAGTAATCTTAAAATGACTTTCTGACAGTTGTGTTGTACCATTGTAGAATTTAAGCATGCTAAACTATTTTCTTTAAGCTTGAGATGAAAGAGAACAAAGGAAAGAAAAAAAAAAGAATAAATTTTAACATCTTCTGCTTGAAAACAGAGTTAGTGTTTTATCTAGCCGTCTACCTCTGACCCTGCAAAGATCAGCAGCCTAGTTGTTATGCTATTTTAACAATTCTAGATTTTGTCATGAATTTTCCTTCTTCCTCTTCCACTTGTGTAGGTGCGAGAAATCGCCTACAGGATTTATCTCTATCCCAACGCAGAGCTGATGGGGTGTTTGGAAGAGCTGCTGAAATGCAGATACAAACTGGCCACACTGGTGGGCTACGAGTCCTTCGGACACAGAGCCCTAAAGGGGACAATGGCCAAAACCCCAGGTTACTACACCTCTCTGGGGTTTTTCTCACAGTCGGGACATTTTCATTATTCAGCACTGTCAATATTTTGTGCCTTTGAGAACTATTCTCGGGAGGTTTACACGCTGCATTTTTGTTTTTATCCCTCTTTGCAGAGACAGTGATGAGCTTTCTTCAGCTGTTAACAGACAAGCTGTCAGACAGGTACAGCTTTCCATGTTTTTCATAATAAAAATCCACTGATCAGCTATTTCAGTTTGGCAGGTTGAATCATCAGCACGAGCTGATTTATGTTTTTGTTGCCTTTGGTGTAAAGGCTTCATTAAATCGGTGCTTCCCCTCGAGGTTAACCATGAGTTATTAGGCTATTTAAGATGTTTCCCAAAGATCCACAATTACTGAAACGAGTGACCCTTTAATTTGTTTTGTCATACATGCGAATATGAGTTTGATCATTTGCACAATGATGCATTTTTAGAAAACCTTTGTGTTCCTCTTTTTGTGTGGGATGCATTCTCTGTGTGCTTAGATTTCTTCAAACAGTCCAAAAATATGCAATTCAGGTGGACTGGGAGAGTCTAAATTACCCACAGGTATGAATGTGAGCCTGTTAGCCTGGCAGCCTGTCCAGGGTGTTTCCCTGCCTTCAGCCAAATGCATGCTGGGATTGGCTCTGGCCCCCGTTGACCCTGAGTAGAGATAGGTGGGTAAAAAGCAGGAATGAACGCCTCGAGTCATCACGCTAATAACTTGTTTGGTGCTTCTCTTTCAGAACAGCAAAAGACTTTAAGATGATGAGAGACATGAAGAAGAAACTCAGCCCTCGACATTCTGTGGGTGATTTTTATTTTTTTAATGTGCAAGAATATTTTTGCCAACTACACAACATTACACTCACCGTTACACATTTCTCTCTATGCTGTTATGCCTTAAAGCAATTAATACTGATTACACAATATTATATTTTAACTCCTGTAAGTTGATTCTGATTTAGAGTTACGATGAGTTCTGTGTTTTCTGACAGGAGCTCATGCCCTGGGATCATCCATACCTCAGCGGTGTCTTGCGTGCTGAAAGGTGAGATTTAGCTTTTATGAAACATATTTTTCAGCTTGCTGTCACTTGATAGTCATTCACATGTTTGTAATTCCATATTGCTTCACAGCGGCAGCTCTTATTACGTCCCACTTCTTCATCAAGTGTTGCTTTTTACAAAAGGTGTTAGGAGAGACGCATGGGAGTAAACTTCAGGTCTGATTTTCAGTCTAATCGACCTCCTTTTTTTTTTCTTTTTTTTTGTAACCCAATGGCTTCTTATGACTTGATGATCTAATCAGCCAATCACATGGCAGCTACTCACTGCAATCAGGCATGTAGACACGGTCATGATGAGCATCAGAGTGGGAAAGAAGGAGGATTTAACAACATTGTGGGTGTCAGATGGTCTGCTCTCAAAAACGCTAAAGTTGAACATGGCGATAACTTTACTGTACTCAAGGGACCCCCACAGTCATCAGATCTCAATGCAGTACCCAGTATCAGCAAGGCAGATGTAACTAAATGAAAACAAATGAAGTTGGACTAAAAATAAAGACTTGGAATTGTATTAAAAATTGTATTAAAAAAACAGGCGTCGATGCGTGATAGAAAGCATGTGCTGGCAAACCGTCCTGGATGTCACCCATGGCGTGGAACTTAAATAAACTGTGGTCGTCTTTGGCATTCAGCAAATTCAAGAAGCCATAAGTTTCACTATTATTAGTTTTTCTTTTCAGGCAGCACGGTGGTTAGCACTGTTGCCGCACAGCAAGCAGGTCCTGAGTTCAATTTCTGTGTGGAGTTTGCATGTTCTCCCCGTGTCTGCGTGGGTTCTCTCCGGGTACTCCGGCTTCCTCCCACCGTCCAAAGACATGCAGCTTGTGGGGATAGGTTAATTGGATAATCCAAATTGTCACTAGGTGTGAATGTGAGTGCGAATGGTTGTCTGTCCCTGTGTGTTGGCCCTGCGACAGACTGGCGACCTGTCCAGGGTGTACCCTGCCTCTCGCCCTATGACAGCTGGGATAGGCTCCAGGCCCCCCGCGACCCTGAAAAGGACAAGCGGAAGCAAATGGATGGATGGATAGTTTTTCTTTTCACTTTCCTTAACATTTAGTGTTTTAAACACTAAATAAATACATTTTTATACAATTTAAAAAAAAAAAAGCCAGATATACAAATGCGATACAAATTAAAAGTCGTCAATGGAAACACATTTTTAAGATGGTTCAATGAAATCATAAATGTGAAATAAAAACAATTTCACATTTCAGGCTTTAAAGGGTTAATGAGCTGCACTTTACAGAGCAAAGGCTAATTATATGTTGAGTCTGGGGAGGCATTAGGTAACTCTTTATTGCAGACATTAGTGATCTGTCAGGTGTTCTTTGAACTTAAGCAGCTACTAAGTTTTCTTGAAACTTGGACTTGATGTGTCTTTACAGATTTTCTGAGGAGGAGTGGGGTCTGTGCTCTCCTTCCTCATGCTGCCAGTCCTCTGGGACTGGTCCATCCGTCCTCTTCCGTTTATCCTTGTCAGGGTCATGGGGTGGGGTTAGAGGCTATCCCAGTTACCATAGGGCGAGAGGCAGGGCACACCATGGATAGGTTGCCCGCCTGACCCAAGGCTAACACAGAGAGACAGACAACCATTCGCACTCACGTTCACACTTATGGACAATTTAGAATGACAGGTTAACCTAACGGCACTAGGCGCATGTCTTTGGACTGAGGGAGGAAGCTGGAGTACCCGGAGAGAAACCACGCAATGACAGGGAGCCACCATGCTGCCTAAAAATTGATGTGGCATTTAAAAAAAGAAAAGCCCTTTTCGGTGTATGACGGCGAGGAAAGGAACAGCCACTCTTACATGCTCACATTATGTTAATTCCTCCCACTGAGGCTCTTTCGTCACAATCACAGGTTTTTTTGTTTCTCTCAGTCACTCATTTTCTTTTTATCGGTGCTTTTCCAGCAGTACCAGCTCGAACCGGTGTGTGTTCAGACCCTGCTGAAACAGGGACTAGAGCTTGTGTGTGGTAAACACAGCTAGTAGCTGTGTTCAGCAGTGGCCTGTTATTCATCACTGATAATATATGGATGTGGTGTTCTAGCTAAACAACCGTTTTGGCTCGGTGGTCTTTATCTTTGATGCCTTATAAGCAGCATGAATGAAAGGAGCCATTTTAAGCATGGGTGGCCAAACCTGAGCCCTGGCACTGTGGTGGCTTTGCCCTGCCAGCTGAGCTCACATATGAGTGATAGTCAGGATCCGTTTTCTTTTTTTCTTAGCTAGTCAAGTGAGCAACCTGCAGCTAAACGTATACAGAAATATGTGCTGGTTCAAAAGTGGGCAAGCGTTTCATCTGGGCTTCAAGTTCTGGTTCATTAATTTAAAAAAAGGGCCTTTTGGGCTATTTTGACAGTGTAAAAAATATAAATTTTGAAGTCCCACTGCTGATCTTCCTGTTTTAGAAGATGCACATGATTCCTATTTGTTGTTTTTATGTACTTTGTTGGATCACGGTGCTGAAGGTCACATCTCCTTCTTTCATTGATATGTTCTGATTTGTCACGGCAGGTACAACATAGAGCCCAGTCTGTACAGTCCCTACTTGTCTCTTGGTTCCTGTATGGAGGGTTTGAACAATCTCTTCTCTCAGCTGTACGGCGTCTCCCTCATGTCTGAACAACCCAGAGCTGGAGAGGTCTGGAGCGAGGACGTCCGCAAACTGGTAACTCATTATTAGTGAGGAAAAAAGGTTCGCTTGTGTGGAATAGTCTGTGCCAAGCGCTAATCCTCGGACCATTTTTAAAGATCCAAGTTTCAGATGCTGTGTCTGTGTGCAGTTATTGGGTGATTACATCACTGTGCGTGCATTTCTCCAGGCTGTGGTCCATGAGACGGAGGGATTGCTGGGATACATCTACTGTGACTTTTTCCACCGGCAAGATAAACCTCATCAGGTATGAGCACACACTCATCGACGTACTCGAGATTTTAAAGTATCTCTTCCTTCTTTGAAATGTGGTTAACCATTCCCAAACGAGTTTTGTAAAATGTGGATTAAAAACAGAAAAGCCACATTTTATTCACACTCGAACATCGAAACCATATTTTAACATAGATGTTTAAACTTAGACTAATTCATGAAAAGGCAACATTTCAAGTAAAGTTGGGCCTGGGGCAGCGAAAGGATGGAAAACTAAATGCTACTAAAGGGAAACAGCTGGAGGAACATTTTGCAACCAGTTAGATTAATTGACAACAGGTCAGAGTTTCACAGAAGTAAAGATGAGCAGAGGTTCACCAATCTGCAAAAAACTGTCTACAAATTATGGGAGAACTTCAGAATAATGTTCAACATCAATGTCTCTTAATCGACATAATATCAAAACATTCAGAGAATTCTTTGTGCAGAAGGATGAAATTCAATACTGGATGCTCTTAAAATTAAACATTTTCTCTGTGTAAATTTTTTATTTCTATTGTGAGTAAAATTTGTTCATGAGATTTGCAAATCTCTACATTCTGTTTTGTTTTTTCACATTTTTAAAAGTGTCCCAACATTTTCTGAGTTTGTATTTAATTATGTTTTGGTAACGTCATTAGTATTTATCAGTATTATTTTCTATAGTAGCACTTTAGCCTCACTCCTCATTCTCCTCCCAGGACTGTCACTTCACCATCCGCGGTGGGCGCCAGTGCCAGGAAACTGGTCAGTACCAGTTGCCAGTCGTGGTGCTGATGCTGAGTCTGCCTCACCCTACCAAGGGCGCCCCCACCTTGCTCACTCCCGGCATGATGGAGAACCTTTTCCACGAGATGGGCCACGCTATGCACTCAATGCTGGGACGCACTCGCTACCAGCACGTGACAGGTGCGGAGTGACCCTTACAATGAGTAGGGCTCTTCAGTGGACCCTGGTTTGCTTGAGGATTTAGAGAAGTAATAATATTGGAACATTATGGCTTTGCATTTCCAAATGTCACAAGGTAGAATTACATAGATTGATACAGAGCTGTAGGAAGGGGTTATACATTACACTGTGGTGAATTGAACAAGGAAAGTAAGCCCCGAGGAGAGGGCAGATGATAGCTGGCTGCTAACGCTGTCATTTGATATGGTTTGGTTTGCAGATACCTTCAGTAGTAATTTAAGATCCCAAAGCCTTTATTTGAGCCTGACAACAGTATCTATTAACTGCACTGGAGGTTGTTTCTTTACTGGGCACAATGTTTAGACATGTTGGTAAAGTTTGTGTTGTGTAAATCTCATGACAGTTGCTCTTTTTCACCTCTGTTCTACACATCTATTCCTGCCATATGTGCTTTTGCTTACTTATTGATATTGCTGAGTGTCACAAGAGCACAAGGACTTGTATTGATTCTGACTTTTGGTTGGGGCTGTAAAGACTTTGGTTTCTCATTCTGGCTCACTTTTTCGTTTTTAACACTCTAAACATAAAAGCCAAAGCACTTAAGCAGCCAAGAATAAAGTCACCTATATCCTGCTTTGTTTTAAAGTCTCTCATCCCTTCTCTAGGAACCAGATGTGCAACTGATTTTGCTGAAGTCCCCTCCATCCTCATGGAATACTTTGCCACCGACTACCGAGTCATCAGCCAGTTTGCACGACACTATGAAACTGGACAGGTAAACCTTAAACACTCAAAACGATTTAAACTGAGGACAGATTTGAATCGATAAAGTACAGAAATATGTTCTGATGAAGTATTACGGTCATGGCATTGCCATTAAAATTTGCAGGATGAGCTTTGTAGCTTTAATCAGTTTTATCGTCTCTTTAGCCGCTACCCGAGAGTATGGTGGCTCGCTTGTGTGAGTCCAAAAAGGTGTGTGGAGCTGCAGACACCCAGTTGCAGGTAAGATTAATGTCTTTGCATGTACGTTGTCACAGAGCACGCAACAGCAGGAACCATCCATAACACATGTCAGCTAATTTATGATGCTTGTGTGGCACTATTTTAGTGTTACGCCCACCCCTAAGAAAAAAAACAACAACTGAAAATCTCATACTAACACCCGTGGTGCAAAAGTCATAAAAAACATTTAAAAAAAACCCTGAGGAGCTGATGTGATAAAGAACAGTCCTCCTCTGCTCATAAACAGCATCTGGTGGCTATGAAAGGTTTGGTTTTGTTTTTATCTTTTTGATTGGTTCCCATTCTGTTTTAGCCTTTATCACCTTTTTTTTTTAAATTTTATTAGGAAAGCTCTTGTTTTTGTGCTCCGTGCTTATCTGTTTTTCTTTACAAAGCTAAAACTGATTCAAACAAGACAACCACAAAACATGTTAAAAGTTTAATGGGCATTCATGTCCAATGGTGTGACATTAGTCACCATTTAACTCTATTTCTGCAGTTTAAGAGTTTGCACGTTGGTGATTGTTTTTGCTTTTTTTTTTTTCTTGCTGTGTAGATTTTCTATGCAGTCTTGGATCAGATCTACCACAGCGAACCACAGAACCGCTCTACCACAGAAATCCTGAAGGACATGCAGCAGAAATTCTACGGCTTGCCTTATGCGCCCAACACGGTACAGCCTGACCACCTTTTTTTTCCTTTCTCCCCCCGTGACTTATGGTCTCTGACGTCATGACTACAGGATAAAATACAAGCTTGGAAGTTGTTGATAATTTAGGGTTCTGTGCTCTTCTTTCGATACCCATTTAATGAGATCACAGAAACCTTTTAGTCTTTAACTTTCTACTCACTTCTCCTTTCTTATTCGCTGTCCTTCCTCTTTCTCTCACTGGTTTTTTATCTCTCACCCAGGCACAGCAGTGTTTAAAGGATTAAAGCTGTTTTTTGAAGGGCTGCTAAAATAACAAAGCAGGGGGATACTTTAAATGAACCCTCCCAGGGGGAAATATTTGAGCCTCTTCCTCCCTCCTCTTTAATGAAAAAAGTGCTTTATTCCCCCACTTTAGCAGCTGTGGGCTGAGGAGGATGAGGCCAGGAGACAGAAGGGAATCAAAAACAGTCATAATTTAGCCAGAAATGGCCTTCATACAGCATTTACTCAGGGCTGTAATTATGTGGGGTTGCCATCAGGAATAAAGATTACAGGACTGCTGTATATTCTGCCCGGACGACCGTGTCCCAGCCAGCGTTTCTCCTCACAGGAGTCCTCCCACTCCTCTGTACGTGCCTCGCTTTGTAGCTCCCTCTCCGGAGATTGCGGTTTATGTTATATAGTTTCCCACTGTCGCAGTCATTTCTCTTCAAGCTTTCAAGCCATACAGGAAGCTCTAACAGGCACTTTGCCTCCGTGTGCACAGCCACAACCACAAGCGAGATCGCTTTCCTCATTTGAACTGAGGGTGATTGCAGTACTTAAACGTCGAGTATTAGATCACGATTGGATCGGAGCAAGTGAAAACAGATTTGTTTAGATCCTTAAAATGTTCTTTTTTGTGTGGTTTACCCTCTGAATCCATCCCTGTCTGACTGCCTTCATGGAAACGCAGCTCAGGAAAAAGTTTCCGCAGTAAAGAGAAGTTTGGAGTGGCTAATGGGTTACGGAGAGCCACAGATTATAAACATTAGGGTGATGCTGACATGTGTATAGTTTATAGAGGAGGGCTATCAGTTCCCGCTGCGTACAGAGTGAGAGGATCAGCTGCGAGTAACACAGACCACATGCTCACTCTTGAGCTGAAGATAATATTTGGGAATAAGAGGCAGAAAGCGAGGTGTCCTGCTCGCTTTTGTTGACATTTCTCTAACTGCTAATCCGTGCCTTTAACACTTGCAATGCTGTCCCTTTTATTTCCCCAGAGGATGAGTCGGTGTGTATGCGACGGCTCACGTTCTTCTCACAAGTCGAGTTTGGAAAGGCCTAAAAATGTCTTTTAACTGACACTGAAGAGGAGCAGAGTAAAAAGCAAGGGCTTACTCAGTTTCCTTTTGTATGTGAGGATGAAAAGGATATCTTGCTGACATGTGACCCGCTCGCACTGTCTCAGAAAAGCTGACGATAATCATTTGATGTGAGACGAAGGGATTGAAAACAAAGAGAAGCTTGGAAGCCTGATAATCAAGGCACTTTGTGATGAGTACTTAAAGCATCCTGTCAGAGGCTGCGACATATTACCAAACAGTTTTTCAGTAGCAGAACATCAGCAGTCAGGAAGCACAGAGGAATCAAAGAGCCTCCGAATTAAAACAAATTAAAGCAGGCTTTTTGTAATTTTCTGGATGTGTTATCGCATTTGTTAGCGCGGCCTACATTTTCTATTTCATAGCACTTGAAAGAGCTGATCCGAGCTCCTGTATTTGTGTTCCTGCTTCTCTAACCCACACTTTCCTGAGCCGTGACTCCTCTCAGGAGTGCTATCGACTCTTATTAAAGTCACTACAGCCCTGAGGAGTCTTGTCAAGTCAACACAGGAGTGTTTTTCATGCTGTTGAGCGACCGCGCTTAGGTCAGCAGACACAGCACCTCTCAAAAAGCAGTTGTTTTAGAGCTTACAACCTACAGTGCTCTTTGTCTTATTTTTTTACATTTATATCCCTTTATTATTCAAATTTCTGAAAAAAAGATGAACCTTTTTATGTTAAAGGTGATGTATAGCATCAGTAGGTTTTTAAATATCTTCTCACAAACGTGAGTTTAATAGATGTTTCCCAGCATAAAGAATTTAAGATTTTTTTTATCCACACTAATGAGTTATTTGGCTTTTTGCTGGAGAACATGTACCTTGATGTCAGACGATCCTTTGGAAGCTTCTTGGGCACCAGTCTGCAAGCACATCCCTCAGTTTCATGATTATTTCACTTTAATTGGAGTTCAAATCTTTAACGTGTATGAAGTCTGCTTCCCCCCCATGTGGATGTGCAAGGAGGTGTCTGCAGTCTGTTATGTTTTGTTAACAACAGCAGCTGCTGCCTTTTCTAGCAGGCTGAATGTTTGAATGTTTGCCAGCTGAATTTCCCAGTGTCGCCGTTTTCAGAGATCATAAAGGAGCTCGTCTTTATAGATATGGAGAAGCTCCCCTTCAGGCAACAACATGGGAGAAAAGGAGCGAACGGGGCTTTCTAGCTGTTAGGAATTTCCATGTTTTGTCCGTTTTATAAAAGGACCTGACAGGATGTGATTTAATGTTTGTCAAAGATGTTTATGTGTGTAATATCATCAGTGAAGATGACATAGGCAGCTCAAAAGATTGAGAATGTTTGGCGTATTTATGAGTCTGCTTTCTGTTAATATCTACTGACGTGTTGTTTTCACCTCGTCGGTCTGTAGTCAGGGTGTAGTCATTGCAAAATCTGGTCCTGAGTCACTGACTGAAGCAGGCGTTACCACAAACGCCTCTGAAGTACTTTGGCAGGTGTTTATGTGTCTGACTGTCTGGATGTTTCAGAGCAGGTTGTGTCAACATGAAGGGCTGGATATTAAAGGGTGAAGTAATGAGATTAGAAATATGAGCTGAACTGAGTGCAGACACGAAAAGATGTAAAGTTAGATTATAGCTAGGTTGTCCAAGATTGCTCGATTACACCTTGGTTATTTCAAATATGACTGTTTTAAAGACATCAAACTGTTTGGTGTTTGGCCTTTTATCACCTCAGTGTTTATACAGGAACCCTTTAAAATGTCTCCCTAAACGAGACAAACAGATGATTTTTCTGTCGGCGATAGACAGCAGTACTTTGTAGATGCTTTGTTCTACCGTGACATACCGAATATCTGCGTAAAGCTCGTCTTCTCTTCTTACTAAAACAGTTGACATTTTGTCTCTTATTTTGGCACTAATGGTGACGGAGGAGTTATGGTCATTTAAAGAGCACTTGTGAGATGTGCATGCTGCCAGGCCGTAGGGTAACCTCACTCTATCCTTTTTATTTTACCCATTTTTATTTGTTTTGGTGTAAGGTGCCCAATCTTCATGATTTAGTTTTTGAATACGAATGATTTTTTCATTTTTAAATTTGATGGAGTGTGTGAATAGCTACAAAAAATCTGCTGTTTTTACTCATTAGCAGATTTTAAAGTAATCTGTCCGGCGCAACAGTCGCGTGTCACCTTGGATACGGTGACACACGACAGATGCTGTTAGGAAAGTTGCAGCCGTGTGGGTTTAGCTTAGAGTTAGCTTTGTGAGGATTGGCTTCGCTGTCTTTAAAGTGATATAGTTGTTTATTTTCTTTGTTCAATGTTCATTTTCTTCTTAAGGCATGGCAGCTGAGATTCAGCCACCTGATTGGGTACGGGGCCAAGTACTACTCCTACCTCATGTCACGTGCGGTGGCCTCGATGGTGTGGAAACAATGCTTCATAGAGGATCCTTTAAACAGGTGAGACCAAAGCTTAACATACTGTTAAATTAGAGAATGAATATGTATGTATGTATGTATGTATGTATGTATGTATATATGTATATATATATATATACATATAATATATATATATATATTATATATATATATATATAATTAATATATATAATTATAATAATATATAGAAATATAAATAAGTCTCATAAATCTCATATCTCAAAACCCCAGTCATAAATCTAACCAATCACTGCATATATATGTGTGTGTGTATATGTATATGTGTGTGTATGTATACATATACGAGCTGAATTATAGGGAAAACTGTCTTATACGGCCATAATCTCAAAGGGATGTAATGTTGAACTTTACCATCAGAGCTTTCGCTGAGTTAAAGATGTTTTTAATAGAGAGAACCGAATAGAGGAATTATTTTTGTAGGGAGGCAGATATTTAACTGGACACATGGTTCATTATTTATAAGGGCAATAAATACTAAATTGGCTGAAATGAGGAGTCCTCCTAACAATGACTACATTACCCTGAAACTGAAGTACAGGTGGTGAAGAGTTGCAGAAACATAGTTCATATCATCTGTATCAAAGCCCTGGCTTTAATGTGAATGTGGCATCTGCTGTGATTCACGGACACACACCAGCATCCACATTACCAGATCCTCCTCTATCTAAAGTAGGGCTGCCCAATCCCAGTCCTCGAGAGCTACTATCCTGCAGCTTTTAGATGCATCCCTACTCCAACACAGCTGAATCAAATGGTTTGATTACCTCTTCAGCATGCCATCATGTTTGGCAAAGGCCTGATAACGAGCCATTCATTTGATTCGGGTGTGTGGCTCTCGAGGGCCGGGATTGGGCACCCCTGATCTAAAGCATTTGCCCCTGGACAAGCAAAGCAATAAGGTTCTGTTGTGGAAAACCAGCCGTTAATCGTATCAGCATCGCATTGAGCCCTGCAGCAGTTTCACTTCTTTTTGTTTCCCTTTCTGTCTGTCTGTCCCCCTGGCCTCCTTTACCTCGTCTCGGTAACACCTGCAGTTGTCAGATCTCTGTTGTTTTTATCACCTGTCTGTTGTTTACAGACAACTTAGCAGACTTGGCCCTGGGCTCCCAGTGGCAGCAGCAGTGATGGAGGGGTTGACAGGTGAATACAGGTGTCTGTAACCTTATCTCTTTCTCTTCCCTGCCTGTCTTCCATCTTGGTTTCTTTCTCAGGGAAATGGGTGAGCGGTACCGACGGGAGATGTTGGCCCACGGAGGAGCTAAGGAGCCCATGCTGATGGTGGAGGGTAGGTTCAATCTTTTTGTCACAAATACTGATAGAATATCATGTTTGCCCACAAACATCTGTAAAGCGCCGTTCTGTGCCAACAGTTTGAGGTTTCGCCACAGTTCATCTCCAGGTTTCCTCCCAGATTATGGAGTTGTCAGTCCATTGGCGTCTTGCCCCATGAATTTTTTTTAATAAAAAGGGTGTGTCTAATTACTGCAGGTTGTGCCGCAAAATTTGTTTTGACTTGCTGGACAGCCGAGAGTGTGACTCCTGCTTGGATTTGTTGTTTTTCTTTTCTCATATGAAGCAGAAAAGGCGTCCTCACTTAAAAGAAAGATGGAAGCTGCTGATCCAGCTGCTGTTGTTTCAGGTGGTCACAGCTACCACTGTTATGGTTTGTTGCACTCTGCGCTTTAGATTCCACCGTGGTACATGCTTACTAACACACCTCCCAAGGTCTCTTATCTTTGTTTACAGGAGCTTTGTCAGCCCAAAGCCTGTCCTGCTCTCGGCGAGCTCACTCTGCGGCAGTTACACAGTGCCCCTTGCTAGTCCAGCCCTTATTTGATCTGCTTTTAAAGGTTAACTAAAGAAGATAATTAAAAAGATAACGATATGGCTCCTAGTGCTTTTTGTGTACACAGGCGATCATGAAGGAGGGAAAGACCGAAATGTTTGATTATAGGTTTGAGTGCTTAACGCTGCTGACTCTGCAGGGCTGAAAACACAGACTTTTTTGTTTCAGATCAAACAAACTCAAATATTCCAGTAACTATTCAATAGATTCATCGTTCTCAGTAAATCTTCAGGATTTCTGTGACTCAATTTTCTTGTTGTAACACCATGACATTCACATTCCTTTTGTTTGATTATTGGCACCAAATGGATCAATTTATGACGAATGTGTCACAGCAAACGTAATCATTTTGGTGATCTGGTTACTTTTATCCAATCCCCACATAAGGTCAAATGTCAGCGGCCTCTCACAGTGGTACATGGGACTCCTGTTACGTTGCGAGTGCACCAACTAAACTGGCAGTGTCTTTGCTTACGGTTTTTACTGCTGATGTATCCGTATGGATGTGGTTGAAATTGCAGCAGCGTATTATGTGACCAACGCAGCATTAACAGGAATGGCTACTCAACCGTTGGGTCTCCAGCTATCTGTGTCCCTGTCGCAGCGTACAGTAAGGCCTTACCAAGCTGCATTTATGGGTGAAACCCACAGACACTCATATTCTGATTAATGCCAAGTAACGTGTTAATAAAACTAGAATTTCACTCACCAAAACTGAAGCACACACTTGTGGGATGGTGTGTACCACAGAGCAAGTCATTATATTAGTCAGATAACCTATTAAAATGATCCCAACAGCACCAGTAGCACACACATACAGCAGAGAGGTCCTTTATAAATGGATGATGCTAGCAGACAGGACCTCTAAATCAGCGTGGTCACGCCCCTAACTGATTTATTCAAGCAAATATTTAAAATTTAAAAAATCATCCCACGCGGAATTGCTACGGAAATTATCCATAGAGGCAAAAACATTTTTATACCAGTCTTTAAATATGCTTTTCAAGACTGGTGAAATAAGTTTAATTTAATACGGGAGTCTGTGGGAAGGAGCCTACGTTTGGATGCTGCCTCAAGTGGCACCTAGAGGAACTGCAGTTTTCGCCATTGTTGCATTGACTTCATTTTTAATCTCAGGAGGTTACTCCTTGGAACATAAGTGTCTTTGAGAGTATAGCCGGACACAAGGCAAGCTAAGTATATGCTTTATTAATTTATTAACAATTAGTAAGGAATAAAAATGCATGAAAGGGTTTAAAGTTTCACCACCCTACAATTTACTGTCTTTTTAGTGCTGATTAGCCGTCGTTAGCATGCTAATCCCAATTCGAGATGGCTAATGATTAGCATGTTAGCGCTCGTTTTTATTTTAAATATGCTGATATTTGAGGTATAAAAATTAGTGACAAGCTGGGCTAAAAAATCATCAAACTGCAGTTGTAGTAGAAACGATCCTTGCTTAGGAGTGGAACTGGGCCTATGTGATGATGTCCAGGAGCAGTTTCCTTTTATTACTTGAAGTAATCACACAGAAGTCACATTTTTGAGTGTATGAAATTTCCCCCATATCAGAAAAAAATCTGTGTAATGTGCTTTCAAGGAGTTTGGGTAGTTGAGCTTCATCAAGGAAGAAACCTTTCACATTAAAGCACAAACAGGGTGTTGGAAGAGGGTGGACTTGAACTGCAAATCAAACGCATGCTTCTTTCTTTCCTTCTACACCCCTCCTCCAGCAGTTGCTGTGGCCTGTCTGGACAGGACAAAAGTGGAGAAGGTGAGAAGATAGAGACACAGATAGAAAGATAGTGATATCGGGTAACGTTTAGGAGCGTACTGTAAATCTCTCCCTCAGGGTCACCCCCTCCCTCCTCCACTGGATTGTTCCTGTGACAGCTCCAAACAGGGCTGCACCCACACTCTGAAATGAAAACCACCATTGGATCAGATCCTTGCTGTAAGATCTGTTGTCCAATTGACTGTTGCTTAACTTACAATTTTTGCTTTTATGGTTTTCTTTGTAGCGAATGCTACTCTAGTTATAGTCCAAAGCCCTGCGTGAGGCAGAGTTTTAATGGTGGTTTTTATCGCTCTGGCTGCAAGTCACAGGGGAAGGAAGGCTCTAAAAAACGTCTCCTCTGGGAATAATGATTAACCCAGCGATTGCATTGTCTGACAGAAGATGCAGATCAAATGAAAGAGCCTTGGGAGGGCTAGATGGTAGATCCACTCTCACATTTTTTGGCAGCCTGTCCATTGTGTGCACCTGCATTTATAATAATTTTATAATAATACATTTTTTTCCTTGTCTGGAGAAATGCTTCAGCTAAAGCAGAAACTCTCTGCAGTTTAAAGAACCCTCATTGAGCCACCTCACCATTTTGATGAAAAACTACAAAACATCGGCACATGTGCTGAAATATTTAAGTTTCCACAGCCTTTGCTGAAGGGTTGATGGGTTCATAGCAGACATCCTGAAATCTTATTGAGGAATGGAAAATTGATTTGAAGTGAATTAGAATGGCTCTTTTTATGTCCTTAGCGGGGATTAGGCCAGCAGAGACCAGAACACTAGAGGAAGGAGACAGAATCCAGATCCAACCCATTACACATAATCCTTTCAAACAAAGAGCCTTGTAAATGGAGGTGTGTATCATTTCCCTGCTTATCCCCCTTAGGTGAGGTGGTAGAAGGGGCATAAGGGCACACGGGGAACCGGAGCAGACCTGGAAAGGCCAATCAGAGGCCAGTCTTTATCTGGATGCCTCCCTGCCTGCTCCTGGATGTTTCCCAGGAAAAGATGGTGTTGAAATGTAAACCCAGGTATTAAATTCATTGCGGCAGCATCACTGCAGTGAGAGAGAGAGAGTGAAAGCCGATCGACTGGCTAAACTGAACCTTGGGTCCTCCTACAGAGAGGGCTTTCATGGCCCAGGCTGTTCCCATAGTCTCAAACACTGAGCACAGAAAATGGATCTACTCGGGCTCTGTAGCAGGGACTCGGGACCTCGTTCGTTCTTTGTCTGGGGGAAGCGTGACTGAATAGTTCTTATGACTGCTTGTACAATCAGTAATAAACCCCGAGGCGGGGTGCTTTGTACAATCCCACAGCACTTGTGAGACAGTGATGCATAGTTCTGTCTGAAGTCGAGGAGAGGATTGGATAAACCTCATAGTCCAGATGTTAAGCTGCAAAAGGCATAATTTACAGCCCGTACTTGAGTCAGACTCAATGTTTGATCAGGTAAATGTTTAACTCGGGGGACTTTCCAAAATTGTCCTGAATTCTTACTTTAAGTCTGTGTCAGATGGGATGTGATGGCTAACTGAAGTGCGAGTTCAAGAAAATTAAATTCTGTTTTTGCGCAGCAAGGGTGGACAATGGATTTTGTTTGGAGGACATTTTATGACAAACCATAAAGTGCAGGAAGAGCCTGTGCTGAGAGTAACTTACTTTGCTTTTCATCACATCTGTCTGCTTTTTGGCTTTTTATTTTCTCTGCCCGACCCTCCTTGGGGGGCCCTGACCCGCAGATATACGAGTTACCGAAGTTATTACGATTCACCCTGAGCGGGGACATAAATATGTTCAATAAATTTTATGGTAATCCATCCAAAAGCTGCAAAGTAAATTGCATGGGAGCCATGAGCATTTGTATTATCCATCAAACATTTATTTAAATACTACACAGTAGAAGTGACCTGCAGCAGGTCACAGGATTCATGCTCGGAGGACCAGAAATGGCAGTGTGTCATGGCCATCCAAACAATGGCGGCTGAGGTATTTCAGTTTGGACTAAAGTGGTGGACCCACCGCAGACCCGTCTGTCTGCATAAACACACTTAAAAATTTTTTTAGAATGACTCGATGCATTAAGCTGAATAAATCTGCTTGATGCAACTTTTTACGTAAGTGTTGCTTTGGAAAAATTATGAAGAGGTTGTGTTGTGTTGATGTTCCTTTTTTGTGTGTGTGTGTGTGTGTGTGTGTGTGTGCGTGCGTGCGTGCGTGCGCTTACTCAACAAAGAGCCTCCCAGTGCAGTGTTTGTCATCACCCTTGTCTTGCTTGCTTTCTGGGCCTGTCTTAAGTGCGGTTTGTAGAAAAAGCTTCCTGAACTTCAAAGCTGTAATTACAGAGGCGGCGAGCCCCCGGGCCTGCCTGCAGGTCTGACAGACGTAGCTACTTTTCACACCGTGACAAGTTTGGAATAGTTATGAGAATCGGCTACTGAAGCAGCAAGTACCTTAAGATTTGTGAAAACGGTGTCAAACACTTCCGGGGGAATACGAGGCGGCAGAGGAGACGGGGCTAGTTATCGCACGCTCCAGTTTGTGCACATTTCCTACGTAGCACAGTGCTGCCTCAGAGTTGTAACTGGCCTTCAAAAGAAGCCTATTAAATTGTGAAGTACCAAAAATACAAGCTATAACAAGGAGTTAAGGTCAATATGTTTTTATGAAAAAGTTTCAGTTTTTTCAGTAATGTTAAAGTGTCTGTTGTGTGTTCTGTGAGGGAACCACGAATGCCATTCATGGCCTGTTTGAAGGGGACAAATTAAATGTGTTATTTTGCAAGAATAAATAAATAAGATGAGACACCCTTTTTTTTAAATGTATTTATTTATTTTGCTTTCTCAAATCATGGAGGTCATCAGACAGACTTTATCCATGCCATCCAAACTTCTGTTATTCATTTATTTATTTGTTTTTAGTCAGCATCTCAGATCTTTGATAAATTCATCCAGCAGTAGCTGCAGGCTGGACTGCAATTTTAGAGCACTTGTACTAAATTCATGTCCCCTGAGCTGTCATTACCCAGACTCAGAGCTGCTAGCCAGCCATAGTGGCCTTCGTTGGACTGATACCCATCGCCCACCACCCTTTGAGTAAATAGCCTGGCTTTTCTTTGTTGTTTATCTATTTACTGATGTGAAATGTAAAATCCCAGTGTAATTTAAAGATTTTACCATGAGGCTGGACCCACGTCAGGACGTCTTTATATCTGAGGATGTCATTTCAGGGAGCTGAAAAGATTTTGCCCTTGAAAGGTTTTTTGGGTTTGTTTTTTTTGTTTTGTTTTTTTTGGCATTTTGTGCTGATAGCTGGTGACATAAGCGGAAAAACCAGGGGCTATTGTAGGGCTGGGCGATATGACCCAAAATTCATATCTCGATATTTTTTAGCTGGATGGCGATATAAGATATATATCTCGATATTTTTTTTTTAAGCCATAAAGTAAGAACAAAAAGAGAGTTCTTAGTCAAAGCTGTGTCCCAGATGTCACACAGGCACTTTTATTAACATACAGCACAGATGTACATGAAAAATTACTCAAAAATAAATTATGAGCATTCATTAAATAATAATGCTCCATAAATAAAAGAAAACAAGGTTGTTTTTGTGCTAAACAAAGAGCTCACAATTGTGCAGTCAAAATGTAAACTAAAAGACGCTGAGCGTAATAACAAAGACAGACAGATTTCACAGCTGCTCTGTTCCCAAGTTTTACTGTGTGACTGATAGCCTGGAGTTTGAAATCCGCTTCATAACCACGTCTCTTACAGGTGCCATTTATGGTCCTTATACACACACAATATGGTAATATTACGTTGATGCACAGTACGTATCACTCCGCGAAGCTCCTCGGTAGCCGTAATGCGCCGACAATCGATCAAGCGGTGCAGCTCCGTAGCTTAGCAAAGTCGTACTCAAACATTTTTGACAGATTGCTGAGCGCCGTGTACCACATAAAATCGGTTCGCGGCCATCAAGCACAACCAGAAGTAATACATAAGGCGCACTATCAACTTTTGAGAGAATGAAAGGATTTTAGGGTTAGCGCTGTTAGTGCGGTTAGCTCGTTAGCATGTTTAGCTAGTTAGCACGTTGACGCCGTCCAGCCCCACGCATGGGGCGATGCGCAGTAACTCGTTAACGGAGATTTGCCTTGTCCATCTTGTCGCTGCCTGCACGTGAAGCGATGGGGGAGGAGGGGGAGTTGTCTTCAGTGAAGGAGAGGCGGAGTAACGTTGCGTAGAGACAAAAGTGGACGAAAGAGAGGCAAACTTGCGGCTCCACAACTATAATTATAACGTAACATAGACTATATCGATATAAAGGATATTGTCACATCTTATATCTCGTATAAAAATATATCGATATGTTTTAAAAACTCGATATATCGCCCAGC